GGACGGGCGCCCGGCGGGAAGAGCAGAGTGGTTGGCTTGCCGTGTTAGGGTTAAACGGAAAGCGAACGCGTTTTCGGTTGTCAAAATAGCAACAGTGCACGCCCATCCGGGAGTATTTCACAGGCTGTGTGCCTCTAGGAGACGAGTAAAGCCAGGCCCAGCAGCTTCTTTAGACCTAATAATGGACGGTGTCGGTTCACTGGATCAGAGTACAGTTTTGCCATGGTCTGGAACGGGAAGTGATGACATTTTAAATGATGAATTTAATAAAAACTTAACCTATGAAGAGTAGATAAAACTTAAGGGTGGAATACAGAAAGCAGTAATTAAAAGTGTTGAGTAATTTAATTTAAAATTATTGTTATTTTCTCAAGGTCTGGAGCAGAACCAAGTCTTCACAAGAATTTCTTTTTGTCAATCACCTATGAAGCTCCTGATTTTAAAGTTGCACTTCTGCAATGAAGAAAAGGAGACGGCTCGCTGCAAGTCTAAACAAAAAGGTTCATCTTGGCCATGAGAAGGGTACTTCAGAACAGATTCTTCTAGTGGACTGTGCGCAAGAAATTGTTTCCAAGTCTGCAGAAAAAGCTCCTGCAAATCAGCTTGAATCTTCCCAAGAACTTCCGCCGTCACCAGAACAAAGAAAGCTCCTAAGCTCATTGCAGTATAACAGAAATTTACTTAAATACTTAAATGACGATAGACAGAAACATCCATCGTTTTGTGATTTACTCATAATTGTAGAAGGAAAAGAATTTAGTGCTCACAAAGTCGTAGTGGCTGTTGGGAGTAGTTATTTTCATGCTTGCTTGAGCAAAAATCCGAGCACTGATGTTGTCACGTTAGATCACGTAACTCATTCTGTCTTTCAGCATTTGCTTGAGTTTCTCTACACATCTGAGTTTTTTGTATATAAAAATGAAATTCCGTTAGTGCTGGAAGCAGCAAAATTTTTGGATATCATAGATGCAGTGAAGTTACTAAATAATGAAAGTGTTTCTAACGTACAGACTGATAGGGCAACTGATGTGCCTACACCAGTAGAAACACTCAGTGAACTGACAGGTAAACTATTAAATAGTCATCAGTGCACTTTTTGTGGTCGAAGTTTCTGTTACAAGAAGTCTTTAGAAAATCATTTGGCTAAAGCCCACAGGTTCCTTTCACTGGAAAGAAAACATGGGTTAAAAATGGTTGAGAAGGCTGACTTCTCCACTAGACGTTCTATGAGAAACCGTAAAGGTCCAGCTAAATTTGATAACGGCGACAATGAAAGTGGTGATGCCTCTGACAGCAATTTGGAAAAAGTCATCTCTGACAAGGAAACACCTGATAGAAGTGAATTTGAAGACAGTGAAAGTGAATGCAATGCTGATAAAGAGGGACAGGAAGAGGAAATGTCAGGTGAAGATTCAGAGTCTGAAGAACAAAGTGAAAAAGAACAGAATGATACTGAAGAGGGTTCTGAGGCAGTTGATTCAGTGGGAAATATTCCTGAAGGCTTAGCTCCAGTCATCATTCAAAGCAGTAGTAAAAAACTACTGCAGTGTCCCAAGTGTGACAAAAAATTTGATCGAATAGGTAAGAGCAAGATAGGTTGATCTCTGTCAGTTTTGCCATATGGTGGTGCTATTTGTATGGGAAATAAACAGCTTTTTCTCTGTCCTAGAGAGTGAAGATCAGAGTTTTTGGATTGTCTCACTGATCCAGTATGCTGCTAATTTTTCTAAGTGTATTAAGTTGTTATGTCTGGTGGTAAATGGTTTCAATAAATGAACTGAGTGCATTGTTTGAAAAATTTGCAAATACTAAATTTATTTCTCTTTCACTGCTCCAGATTCCAGTTGTTAGCAGGGTATGTGAAAGCAGCCTTGAAAAAGGAGAGAAATACAACAAGATATTAAACAATAAATTGCATGAAGTCTGAGACTACTGTATGTTCTGCCAAATTAATTTTAAGTAACAAAGCTACCATTATTGCTGTAGTAAACCAGTACCATTTTTAAACAGCCTGAAACACATCTGTTCTACATGATGTGTAGATACTTAGGACCTAGTCACTCTGACTTCTAGCTTGATTTTTCTGGTCTGTAGTTAGCGCCAAGTAGTACTTCATCAGCTTAATCTGTTCTGTTAGGATCATTTATGTTACAGTCAAATGTTGGTGTGTAGGTACTTGGGATATGAGAAGTGTAAAAATTCCAGTCCTGACTTACCCAATGCTTTCCTGTCCTCCTTGCCCATATTAAAAATGAAATTACTACTGTACTCCAGAATGCTTGTGTTCTTTCAGCCAGAATAAATGTTGAATTATGCTCACGTAAGGTATTGATTTCCTTTCAGTCATGGGAAAGAAGCACTTTCTCATAGAGTTAGGCATTTTTAAGTGTCGTTATAATAGATGCATCGTGTCTTTCATAATTTTAGGAATTTGTGAAAATGGGGTGAGGCTGGTATGATAATTCCTGCTCTCATACAGTGTGTTTAGCATGCTGAGGTGAAATGAATTTTCCAAGGTCACAAGTTACATCATTGAAGCTGTTGGACATCATAAATGTAGGATTTAACTGTACTTGTAATGCCATATCTTGAAATCACAATCACATAGGAAATTTTCTGAGTTTTGAGAGCTTTGTTATTAATACTAAAAAGCTACTGTGCAGAAGTAAATGGCTTGTGAGTATTTAGGGTTGTAATGGTACATTTTGGTTTTGCACATGTTGGAAGCCCTTTTCTCTTTGCACTTCCATAACTTAAAGCTTGTATTATGGTAGACAATTGACTTGTATTTTAAATTTATGAGCTATAGTACTTTTAATTTCTTTATCTTAATCCCAGAAGTATGATGCATATTCTACAGAGGAAAAAAAAAAAGGTATCTAGTACAAAGCAGAAGCCTGCTGTTGACTTGAGGCAGGTAGATCCTCAGTGTAGGATGGAATTCTATCCTCAGAAAAAAATCCCCAGCCAACAGAAGAGGGAATACAAGCAGTGTGAGAGAAACGAGAGAGTAGGATTTTTGTTCATAGTAATACCTTGGTTCCCAAATATAGATCAGTTGCAAGGTTCTGTATAATTTATTCAATGTTTTATTTGTACCTTAAAAATACCAGTTTGTTGCAAGGTTTTTCCCAGTTCTGAAAAAGTACTTCAGTCAGTGTAGTGAAAGAGTAGTTGTATAACTTTCAGTACTTAGGAACAGAGTACACTGTGGGGTTGAAGAGGTACTCGTAACCCTTGTACAAATTTAACAGTAATACAGAGCCCTTTTATTTTCATTTTTTATCTCAAAAATAGTTAAGATGGAAGTGTGTGAAGGAACCTTGGATCAAACACGTGATCATCGTGCAGTTTTCAGTGGTGTAAACCAGTAGAAATCTTTAGAGATGTATGTGGAAGGTGCTTAGATCTTGACCACATTTGAGAGGGATATTATAGAACAAACCCCAAATGTGTATATCGTAGGTGATACATGTTACAGTTTAAACTAATGGATTTTTTGTTGTTATACAGGCAAATATGAGAGCCATACACGTGTACACACAGGTGAGAAGCCTTTTGAATGTGATATATGTCATCAGCGCTATTCAACGAAATCCAACCTGACCGTGCACAGAAAGAAGCACTCTAGTGACACTGACTTTCATAAAAAGGAACACAAATGTCCCTACTGCAACAAGCTGCATGCAAGCAAAAAGACTTTAGCAAAGCACGTGAAGAGGCAAGTACGAGCAAATTTATCTCACGTTTCTGAAGAATTATTTTTTTCAGTTTAAAAGCAAAGATAAGTATATGCATGCACACAGCGTTATTCATGACAGGTGTAATTATACGGTAATATTATTTTCATGCCAACTTTTTTCTCTTTCTTTGTAAATATTCATAGAGCATCATAACTGAAACGGTCCTCTGTCTTGCCAGTATGAGATTCGACAGAAGTCTATAGTCAATACTGCTTTTGCCTTTAGAACTGTCATTGTTCATTTCTCCTGGTTTGGTGATCAACTGTCGTGACACATGAAGTTTAGAAATGGATACTTAGTATCTGGGTGATCTTCATCCTAGAAAATTTTAACTACTTTCGGCTTCTGTCTTTCTCCTAGGTTTCATCCAGAGAATGTACAAGAATTTCTTTCTATCAAGAAGACAAAGAGTGAAGGTTGGAAATGTGATGTAAGTAATACTTTAGTATTTTGTTATTTTTTTTTTTTTTTCCATATAGATACTGTGTGTTGTGACTTGAATACCTAAGTGGAAAGATAGTATGTGTTTCTGTGAAATCTAGCTTTGTGAGTGATGGTATAAATTTCCTTTTTATGTGCTGATTTAAAGACTGAACTTTATCTGTTATGTACAGCTTGTGACCAAGTAGATAATACCAAATTGAATTCTAAAATAGTTGCAAGGCACTGTTTTTTAATATGAACAGTTATTACTGTTGTTAAAATACATCAATTTACGGGTGGTTATACTTGAATGTTATGAATACTTCAAAAAAACCAGAGCATTTGAAAAGCACTGACCATAGGGTATACTTTTTTGGAAGCGCTCTCAATAGTGAGGAAAATATATGTTAAATATGAAACACTTTCTCATTTAGCTGCATATACACAGTGACAGAGTAGTAATTTTGTACTAAATTTATCTCTAGTTGTAAAATCATGGAATCGTCTCCTTGATTTTCCCCAGGAGAGGTATATGTGTGAAACTACGTTTACTGTAAGAAGGAGTTTGTAGAACTGCCATTCTGCTGCCAAAGAATGTTTTAAGGTTGCAAATGTGAGGGGTGTGTGTTTTTCTTTTTTTTTTTTTTTTTTTTTTTCCCCTTAAGGGAATGTGCTTACTGGTTGGGTTTAGGGGTTTTTTGTTGTTTTTGCTTTTTTTTTCAGGGCAGCTGCTTTGATTACGCAAACTGCTGTATGCCCTGTACGTCTGTAGTATTAGGTGGTGTAACATAATTACTAAGTTATCTTTGTTTATGAACTTTCACTTATAAACATATAATAGGAGATTGGGAGATAACAACTGCAGGAATTTATAGTGCTCATTGTGCTGGTTATGGTACCGTGGTTGACCAAAGGATGTTAAATTAACCTTCAGGTGCAGTTATCTTGTGTGAACATATTACAGATCGCGTTTGTTACTAGATAAGAAACATTTTAATAGTGGGACTCAATCATGCAATGTTTCTGTTGTTCTCAGAAAGTACTGTTGCCAGGTGATTGATTTGGGAAACTCTCACTTTGTGGTTCGGTCTGTTGGTTGTGTGTGGGTGGTTTTTTTTTTGGTGGTGTGTGTTTGTTTGTTTGTTTTCCTTGAATATTTTAAATTTATGTTTAGTAGAAATTTTTAAAATGTGAGCTGCTGCTCTTGTACTGCTCATGTCCATTGAAAATGGACTGGGAAGCAGGGGTAGAATTTTAACTTTTATAGCAGTTGAAGAATGGACAGAACCCTTAGGAGGGTGACTTTGTTTTGAGGTTGATCGATACGTTGTGAGGGCTGAGATGCCTCAAATGGAAGCTGCAGGATTTCTTCAGGTGGTTGGTTTATGCTGGAGTCCGTGTGTGAACACCGGGATTTGGCGACTGTACTTTAATCTTTGAAGAATATGAGCAAATTCACATAAGTAGTAGAGTATTAATAGAAAAGTAAAGTAGTAAGACTATTATACTTTCTACAGGTGTGGGATTTTCTTACACTTAATTTAACATTAATGAGTTTTTAAACAAAGCTGTTACTTCTTATTTTCTGAGGCGGAGAGTGTTACTCAGGTGTGCTCTGAGAAACTGATTGCACGATTTAATATCTGCGAGTTAGGTAGTACTAAATTCAGTTATTATGAACAATGGCAACAGTCTCATAGCGAAATTAGTGAGCACTATGTTGATTTATATTAAAGCCTAGGACCCTGATTTTAAATTGTAATACTTAGTTAAAATGCCAAATTTGAGCTGTGGCTTCAGTTCTGTAATTGAACTGCATGCTTACATTCTTGTACATTTATGTTTTGATTAATCTGAAAACAGGGCTAAAAAGCTCACATAATTTTAACATTTAGAAAGTTCTGTATCTCTAAAATAGATTGTGAATTATATTTCTTTGCTGGTATGGGCGTTTTCTCTTCAATACACGCTGTCAGAGAATTTCCCAGAAGTAAAGGAACAGGTATGACTAGTGCTACAAGATTGTGAATTATATTTCTTTTCTGGTATGGGCGTTTTCAATACATGCTGTCAGAGAATTTCCCAGAAGTAAAGGAACAGGTATGACTAGTGCTACAGTAGCTTATAATACAGCAGCTTTTACCACAGCCCAGCTGAGCTGTTTCAGCACCCAAAACCAAGCCAAAGCTGTTTGCTCTTTTTCCTGTTGGGTTATTTTCTGCTGAGTTACTGTGTTGAAACACCCTAGGAAAAGAGTCTGGCAAGTGCTGGTAAGAGTCAGTAGATGGAAGCCTGGGAGTGGAACATACAACTATATGCAGGAGTTGCCAGTAGTTTGATTGAAGCTGCCATGGATGGGTATCTTTATTTATATACTGTAGTCCACTGGGGTTTACGTAGAACACAGATTTTATTTTTGATGTTCACTGTAAGGCATTACAAGTTGGAATAGAGCATGCTTTTGAAGAATACGTGTTTAATCTTACATTGCTGCAGAGAGCAGATGAACTATACTATTGGAGTTTATGAATAGGAAAAAAATCTGGTTATAATTGATGTATCTTTGACAAAGCGCATCATCGTTTTAGATTTGTAAGAAATCTTTCACCCGAAGACCTCATTTAGAAGAACATATGATCCTTCACTCTCAGGATAAACCCTTTAAGTGCACCTACTGTGAAGAGCACTTTAAATCCCGATTTGCAAGGCTGAAGCATCAAGAAAAATTCCATCTCGGTATAGAAACCTCCTGACATGTAAACAATAGATTTAAAGTAAAACCTGTCTCCACCATTGCATGTGCTGAACAATCTGGTTTCCACCCCACCTTCTCCAGTTCTTTCTTTGCCAGTTTTGTGGGAGGGCTGGTTTTGGAGGGGGAGGGTTTGTTTTGTGGGGGGTGGTTGTTTTTTGTTTGTTTGTTTGTTTTATTTTCAGATTTTTGAGGCATTTATTGTATGTAAATAAATGCCAAATTGGGGTGCAGTGGGGGTGGGGGGTGGGGGAGAAGAATTAAGGTTAGTTTTGTTTTAAAGCCTTTTTGCATGCAATCGGTTCTCAGCTATGGAATCAGAATCTTCCTGAAGTTTTCCAAAGACCTTTTTCTTTCCTCCTGAAGTGTTCCAAAGACTTTATTTTATTGCTACTCGTTATGTGTGCCTGATAAGAACTAGATTGGTGATAGTAATGGGAATTTGTTTTTTTCAAGCAGCCTGAGTGTCCTTAATTACTTTTGACTATTAATTCTAAATTTTTGCTTTACAATAATGAAACTTGCCAAAATAGCAGGGATTAATAACTTACTGGAGCAGAAGGTGCACAAAGTCTAATCAAAGTATGCTGACCTAAGCATTAATCATTTGGTAGACAACACTTTTGCTTAGTAAATTGACCAGGGTTTTCACAAGCAACCAGTCTGTGCACCTTGTTTGGTGTAACTGACAGTTAATAATACTCTGTGTGTCTGTCTTCTTGTAGGGCCTTTTCCTTGTGATATCTGCGGCCGCCAGTTTAATGATACAGGAAATCTGAAGCGCCATATAGAATGTACTCATGGAGGAAAGAGAAAATGGACATGTTTCATCTGTGGAAAGTCCGTTAGGGAACGGTAAGGAGTTGTGTGACTACTTGAGGTTCAGCACAACAGAGAAGTGTTTAGCCTGCTTTGTTCAGTTCTGAATATATGTTGGCTTTGAGATTTTAACATAAATGAGACCATTTCAGAGGTCTAGTGTGTTAAAAGGTAGTGTCAGAGCCACACGTAGCATGTGATTTTCTGATGACCTCTAAAATTGACAGCTTTAGCTAATTAGTTATGAGGCAAAACTATATTAAGAACGTCATACCTCTAGTTCACTTCACTTAGGGTTCTTGTGTTGTGCAAGAACATCTTGCCTCTGTTTGGGATTTTCCCGTCATAGATATTTTGGCAGATACACTGATGAGGACAGGAAGATGAGGAAGACTGGTGAGAATGACTACAGAATTGGACTTCTACAAACACTGTTTCATGGAAGATGGAATAATAATGTACCACCTTTGCTGCTGCTCCTCTCAATGGAGGAAAAAAATGTTAATTTAGTGCTTTGAAAAGTGGAAGCTCTAAAAATTGGCACATAAATTCTAGTAGATAGAAAAGGAGCATTGAAAAGTTGTAGAAACAAGATTTCCCTCCTTACTCTCATTTCTGTTCTGCACATGAGGGGGAAAAAAAGGTGAATTTTAAGCAGGTATCTTACACTGCTTTATAAAGGAGACCTTTTAAGTTTTACAGATGGTGATTTGTGTTTAGGTTCTGAAACAATAAGCCTTGTTTATTATTATTTTAACAGAATACGCCTTCACAATAACTGTCACTAAGATTCTAGTTAAGTTCTGTTCAGGGAATATGAAAAGATATGGGTTTCTGTACTGCAGTGTGTTTTCTTGATTTCTAATTTTTTTTCCAATGACTGACAAAGACCCCAGAAGTATTGTGAAAGAAAATACTAATGTGATAATGAAGTAGTACACAAACAATCAATAAAGCACAGATATTCTTTCAGTTCTGTAAAACTTGCTTTGAACTACAAGAATTTCTGTTTAAAGAAGGGCGATATGTATACACAATAAGTTTCATTTATGTTATGTAAGGCAGTTGAATATTAAAATGTTTTTGCTTTCTTCAGAAAAGCTACATTTTTATGTAAAGCATAAAAAATAATATAAATATTATCTTTTTAAGGATAAGTATTGGAAGGAGATCAAAGAATTTTATCTTTTATTTAGTCTACTCTCTTGTGCTGGTCTCAGACAGGAAAGAGTTAATTTTCTTCATGGTTCAGACGGCTGGCCAGAGTATTCCATTCCATTCTACATCAGGCTCAGTGCAGTGCACAGTTCTGAGGCCTGGGGGTGGGTCCTTAAGACTTTGGCTAGCTTGATAGCTGGGTCCTTAGCTTCTTTTGTTAGCTCTTAGCATGGTGAGTGGTGGGGGGCCGTTTCATTTGTTAGTGGGTTGGGGGGTGTATGGGGGGGTGGTGTCTGGTAGGGTAGTTGCCCTGGGGCTCTGGCTCTGCTGGCTCTCCTTGCTCTGAACCTGGTTGCATGTTGGTCAGTGGGTGGTGAGCAATTGTATCATATTTTCTATCTTCTATTATTTTAATTACTTCTTAGTAGTAGTATTGTTAGTAGTATCCCTATAATTTTCATTTATATTCAATTATTACATAGTTCTTAGCTCTACAAGCTTCCTTGTCTCTTCCTCCAACTGTCCTACTGCACTAGGGGAGGTGAGGGAGAGACTGTGTGGTACTTAATTGCTAGATAAGATTAAACCGACATTGGAAATTATATTGTCTGATTCCTTTGCTTGAGATGAATTTTCACCTGCATGCACTCTTTTTTTTTTTTTTTTTTGTTACCATTGGAAAGGAAGTAGTAACAGTAGACTTGTATGTGTGTATAAATATATATGTATTTCAATAAGCCCTGTGCTGGGTTAAGTTAAATTAACACCCATAATCTAGATTTCCTTCAAGTCTGACTTCAAAGCTCTGGCTTTATACATATAGTAACAAGGAAATTATTACATAGTGTTGAAATTGATGTTTTCTTCAATGTATGCTGTACAAATGTATCTTGGGACAATGTTTCTTTGCTTACATGGTTTGTAGACACAGGTAGTTTAGTAAATAGTAGGTGGGTTGCCATACTGCCTTTGAATGTATGTGTATGTATCTGAATAAATTGATGGATATATTCAGATGTATTGTGATCCATCAGTGTAAAAGAAATTGAGAAAATTATAATCGGTTTCACTTTAAAGCAGCAGTGACATTACTTAAAATTCCATTACTGCTTGTGTTGAACAGAACAACTTTGAAAGAACATCTGAGAATTCACAGTGGGGAGAAGCCTCATCTTTGCAGTATTTGTGGGCAGAGTTTTCGTCATGGAAGCTCTTACAGGTAAAGATTTTTATTAAGTAAGCTGCTAAACACTCGCTTATTTGGTGATATATATGCATTCATGTTATCAAGGTAATTCTTCATAATGTATGTGTTTTGATTTATTCCAAATCTGAGAGCATTATTAAAAGTTTTAAACATGCTTAAATATTGAAAATATATTAATAATCCGTGAGAAGTCGTTTAATTTTTAATATGTTAGTGGTTTAAACACAGAATCCCATACAAATCTTGTATCAAAGTTGACTTTCTTGCACATCTAAAACTTTTGCATCCTTGTTATTCAAAGAGACAATAAGTGGAGGACTAAAATATCCTGCTAAAATAACATCAGATATGAGAATTTAACTCTGTTCTCTCTTGCTCTCTAAGAGAAGATATTCATGTGCAGTGCTAAAGACTCTGTTGTCTGATATTTTGCATTGAATTATCAATACAAATTATGTTAATAAAATTGCATTTTATGGTTATATTTATGACTATAAATATGCAGACTTCATCTAAGAGTCCACCATGATGACAAGAGATATGAGTGTGAAGAATGTGGGAAAACATTTATTCGGCATGACCATCTGACAAAACACAAAAAAATACACTCAGGTAGGCATTTTCTTTGAAAATTGGCTTTGAAATTAGTATTTTGAAATAAGATTAAAAAAAAATTAATTGTGGAATTTTTTTTTTCAGTACATGCAATGTTTTAGGCCTCATACAAAGTTCCTCTAACTATTGTTAAGGTCTGCTAGAGTAGGGTTAATCTTACATGTTCTCAAGGTTTAAAAGTCAAGTGTTTCCTCCATGTTAACGTAGAAAGCCAAGGGACAGTCAAAAACATGTAACAGTGAATTGCTTTAAAAATAATAATAAAAAGCAAAAGTGAAAAAGGAGGATTTTTTAATGAGTTTAGATTTCTTTTTTTTCAATAGCAATTGTATGAAACATTATTACGACAACACAGAAGAAGCTGTCACAAAGTTTCAAAGTTTGTACACTGATCACTTTATGAAAGAACATCACACAGGCGTTTCTGAAGTCTCTGTTACGGAGAAGACGGAAGGCAGGAACGTACGTGGTGGGAGCCCACCCTGAGAACAGCTAGATGGGGAAGAAAAAAATCTTTCTGTTGCACTGAGCAGAAGGGTTATCAAATGTTCAGGAAGAGCGAGGATTCAATAGGGACTCTTCCTTTTGCAGAACAGGATCCAAAGGGAATGTGGCCTTCTAGGAGGCAAAATAGATTCTAGGCAGCGTGAAAGTATGAAAGTGATCAGAGTCTAAACTTCTTGAGCCTTTATTTTGAAGGACAGCTTCTTTTTTGGTCTTTGAAATCATAATGCCTGCTATAAAATAAAGAAATCTTTGAAAACTCAAGTACCAAAAAAAAAAAAAAATCCTCTTTTCTACTCTATTTGCTTTTCCCCCCCTTCTAGAAAGTTACATTCTTTGACTGTCCACACTCCTTCTTACATGAGAAGAAATACTCTGCCACTTTGTGGAAGATCTCAAGATGACTAAAAAGAATCAAGATACTTTTAATCAGCAGCATAAAAGAAAAAGGTAACTATGTAAATTAGGATAACTAAAAAGATAAATATTGTAATGTAACTTTAAGTTCTAAAAACGAGTAGCTGAAAATAATTGGTATGTTTAAATAAGCTTCTCTCTTAAAGCCCCTGAATTATTGAAGGTTTCACATTTCGTGTCATAGTGGAGAGAGTAGATTCCTAGTCATTCACTTGTACCTCTCATGCAGTCGGTGTTTGGGGAAGTGTCCCTTAACTCATGAACATTAATTTCTTCGTAGAAACGACAGTCAGTAATAGTCATATATAAAAAGTCAAAATCCGTACTCTGATAGAAACAACCTACTTCGTGAATTTTGTTCTTTGATAACAGAGAATCCTTCTCTGAGCAAGGTATGGAAGAGCTTGATTGGCTGGACTTTCTGAACGTGGATCTACTGTATGTCTTACAATTACAGCTCTTAGACATTTAAATTCCAGAAGCTTTAACCAAAACTAATTGAATTTTGCCCTTCTAGGTGAAAAAGCACATCAGTGTGAGGAATGTGGAAAATGTTTTGGTCGCAGAGATCACCTTACTGTTCATTATAAAAGTGTTCATCTAGGAGAAAAAGTTTGGCAGAAGTAAGTGGGTTCTTATAACTGCGTAAATACTTCTGTGCTGTAACTGATTTTGTTGGGACTTGCATGTTTGTGCAGAATTCTAGTAGTCTATATGCTTGTCATGCATATTACCTTAGCCTTGAGAGATCATTACTATGGTTTGTAGTAGATGTCAGAAAATTGCCTTCATTATTTAAGCAGATGTTTTCTTTGTAGCATAATTAAGTAAACAAAAATATAAAATATGATTGAATTTTAAACTGTCAGCTCTCTCAGTGTTGTTCTAAATTGGTCGTTTGCTGTAATATTGTCACTGCAGACTAGTTTAGGCTGAATTATTAGATATCATTTAAGCACTGTGAGAACTAGCCCATGCTTAGGTATTTTAGAATCTGGTAGCAATTAGTGGCTCCAAAAGTAGGTAAAAAATTTGAGTTGCATCTATAAAGTGAAAATGCAAGAGGATTTTCAAATTCTTGAAGTTCAAAAATAAGCCTTTCAGAGATTTTCAAGTAAACTTGAGTCCTAGTTGTTTTTTTTAATGATGTGTTTTAACTGCTTATCTTCATTAGCATTGTGTAGAAGCCATTAGAGACATGCCTGTGCTGAAAGTGTAGTACATTGTCTGCTTATTCTCTTGGTTTTTTCTTGGTAGCCAATAGCCTAAACCATTCCTACTACTTTATTTATGACATAATTCTGCAAAGTAAAAGCCTTTTGCGGATGATGGGTAAAAGCTGTTACCAATGGATATTTTTGATGTCAGAAAAGATGTTTTAGTGGCTTTTCTCTTTGAATACTATGTGCCAATCCCAGCAGAGAATAAGATTGAGTATCGAAAAGAATCTGATTGACCTTATTGGTACGCAGATGCCAGAAAATAGGAACATAAGTGAGGAAATTGGGAAAATTTTATATTCATCTTTTTAGCTGTTAAAGATTTTGGAAGGGACTATGCACATAGTTTTATTGTTACTTTTGTTTTTTAAACCAGCTATCTAACATAAAATGTCTTTTCTTCTTTAAAGATATAAAGCAACGTTTCACCAGTGTGAAGTCTGTAAGAAAGTTTTTAAAGGCAAATCAAGTTTGGAAATGCATTTTAGGACACATTCAGGTAAAACTGAAATAAACCACAACAAAGCTACAAAGCATATAGGAATGTATTTTTATGCATCAACTTCAATGAAATTATTTAATTCATTATAGACGTTGAGCATTCAGGGCAAGAGTAACAGGAAGCTGCAAGACTTCTTTTTTTCTTTCTTATATGTTGGTCATTCCTGACTACTACCTTCTGCACGTATCAGCAGAAATATTGATAACCCTCAATGCAGGTTTGTGGGGTGTGCTCTCTGCACCTGTTCCTTTAGTTTACTGCTCTGTGTTTTCATCAGATGTACCCAGACCTTCAAATAATTTCTGTGGTCCAGAGAATACTACATTTCAAGTGATAATCTAATCAAGGATTTGAAATCCCTTTGGAAAGGTTTATGTCCTTGTACGTTTGACTTAATTTTTCCTGCCTTATATTTAGGGAAATCATTGTCCTTTCAAAGTGTATAGAAGTACAAATTAAGCTCTTTTAATACCAGTCTCGTAACAGTTTAAAGACTGTTCTTTTTTATATGGTTTATATTCTGATTGTCTTTGTGTGTACCTGACAGAAATCCCAAGTATTGAGAGAGTTTATGTAGGGAGAAGGGTATAGTAATAAACAAACTTGTAATGGCTCCCTTGATTCCAAAATTGATGCCAAATGTATGCTCTTTGTTTTCAGTAAAATTGTGTAGTACTAGGTCTCTAAGCCCTAATCCATGTATGTATTTGCATATTTAATTGTGACATGGTGTTACTCAGAATAACTAATTCTTACTTCTCTTTCTTTACAGGTGAGAAACCCTACAAATGTCCAATCTGTAATCAGTCTTTTAGAATTAAGAAGACGTTAACAAAACACATGGTTATTCATTCAGACGCTCGACCTTTTAATTGCCAACACTGCAATGCAACATTTAAACGAAAAGACAAGCTGAAATATCATATTGATCATGTTCATGGATCAAAGGCTGCAGAAGAGGCGTTGACATCTTCAGAGGAAAAGCTGGTCTCTTTACCAGTGCAGTACACGTCTGATGACAAAGTTTACCAAACTGAGGCTAAACAGTATATGGAACAGTCCAAAGTGTATCAGTCGGAAGCCAAAACTTTGCTACAGAATGTATCTACAGAAGTATGTGTGCCTGTGACTCTGGTACCAGTTCAGATGTCTGATCCACAAGCTGATCTAGTACAGCCTACTCAGTCACACAGCATTCTTCCTCCACAACCTGAACAGACAGATTATCAGCGAACAACAGATCTGTCATTTCTAGAGAAATACACTCTTACTCCGCAACCTGCAAATATTGTTCATCCTGTAAGGCCTGAGCAAATGTTGGATCCTAGAGACCAGTCATATCTTGGAACTTTACTGGGGCTAGATACAGCTCCTGCTGTACAGAATATTTCAAACAATGAACATTCATGAGCAGACCATAACATTCCACCTAATTCACTAAGCCATTAGCCAACAGAAAGCTGATATGGCAATTAAGATTTGTATTTTATATTTTATTTGGACTCATGAGTCTTCTGCATAGTTTTGAAAAATCAGGTTTGTTTACATAATATTTGAACATTTAGGCACATTTTGATGCATACTGACTGTTTCTTGTGATTTTTAAGAGTTTTTAAAATTCTTATAGATGGTCTTTTAAATACTATGCTCTGAAATATCTTTTAAGGGTAGTGGCTGAAAAAAGTAGTTACATATCTGGCTATTAATTTTTTTAAAAATGCCTTTCTGCATCTCACTTTGAGTTATCTTTTAAGTGTAATAGAAAGCATTCTGGAAGAATAAGGACTGTATCAAATTCATTAGATGTTGGAAGGGCAGGCAGGGATATAAACCACAAACTTTGAAATATGTTTCACATAGAAATTGAAATATAAATTTACGTGAACCCTCAGGCATTTGAGGGGTTTTTAAAGTCTGCTGGACTCTGGAGCCAAACCAATGGAACTAGATTCTTCTGAAAAGTGATTCAGATATTTTATGATGACACTAAACAGGGTGCTGGGTGATCCCCCCCAAGTATAATTAGGCTGCCTAAATTTGGCCTCTTAATTCTTCCTTCATCTCTAATATTGAATTATGGGAGAAGATCTAGACAATGGTATCATCTTAATTTTCTACAGTTATTCTTATATAATTTTAATATGCATTTTTTCTTGGTGTTTCAATCTTGTTTGTCTTCTAAAGTGAGCCGAACACTCTAACTTTGGAAGAAGTGGGAGTATTTGTGAGGTCATTTTAATCTTTCAGCAGTCATAAAGGCATGGTTTATCCTTGTTAGGGCATAAGTTATAACAGAGTCACACTTCAGCATAACCATTTTCAGGTTATCTGTGATAGAGAAGAAAGTTGAAGGCTGTTATTTACAGAACAGTACTCAACTTCTGTTTAAAAAAAGAAACCATCAGCAATTATAAGTCTCTTGCAAGTTGCTTAATGAAATTGCTTTGTTTCTCAGTTTCTTGTACTGTGTTTATAAAACAAAGTCAAACTATTGAGAGTATTTTATGTCTTTAATTATTTTTAGCTTTTACTTTTCTATACAGAAGTTGTTTTTTCCAAAAGAAGTATTTTGAACTACAAGTTTAGTCATTCACCATGAAATCTATGATAATTTAACCTCATCAAGCTTTCTATTTTAAGCCTACTTTAAAAATAATTATTCTGTGTTTGTTTGGTGAATATTATGACAATGAAAATATCTGAAGTAATTTTATAATCTTCACTGTTCCTCACAAGAATTACACATTAAAGGCAAAATTTTCCCCAGTTTTCCCTATTCTTAAATTATTATCCTAAAGAAACTTCAAAAAAGGGAACTGGACATATGTAGATCATTGTAACTGTTAAATTTATCCAGTGACCTGAGCGTGAGTGATCTGTGTGAAAAGCTTGTTTATCACCCTGGTTCTATTCACGCCAAGTGGCATGGATCATTTAAAATCCTATACAAATACTTTGAGGTTAGATTCTTTTAATCCCTGTCCGCTTCAGCGTTGAGCCTTTTACAGGAGAGGGGCCAGAGCTGCCTGAATGTTCATATTTTGAAGCTTGTACCCTAATGGATTCTTAACCTGAACACACCAAAGATTTCTGTTAGCTGTTAAATAGTGGCAGAGTTATAGAATTTTAAGTGTTATCGATATTTAAACAGGACTTAGCCAAAGAAGCACAATAGAAGTCCTAAACTTTAAAAGTTCAGTTTCTAAAACAGGACTATTTATGTTTAACTGTTCTATGTTTGTATCTCTAAAGTAAAATTTAGAGCTGTGCTCTGGGAATGTTCAGACTGAGATGCTGTAAATATATCTGGTGAGAAGCTGAATACTTGCAAATATACAGCAATAATGAGGCCACTGAATGCTGCCACCTGAAAGGACACTATCAAGTACTACCCATCCTGCTTTCTAACTCCACCTTCATCCCCTTTCAAAATAAAACTCTTTCTGTCATCTTTACACTCCGTGACTTTAAAACAGCTGTTTTACGTGTAGTTTTCAAGTCAACATGTATCGTATTCATATTACCACATGTGGATGTGAAAAATCATTTCCAGCATTTGTAATTATACTGTTAAAAATAACCCAACATCAGTGGTGTCAGCACAGTTCTCAGACTAAGGAGCCTAAATCTCTGTTATTTCTTGTCTTTTCTGTCCTACAGTAGAAAAAAAGAAAAGCATTGTAGGTTTTTGATAAAACAGTGGCTTAAAGATAGTTGATAACTCATTTTTTTTCTTCTACAATACAGTCTGTTCAGAAGGCACTCTAGGAAAATACTAAAATGTAGTTTGGAGCATATTTACTTGATAATGTCCTTTTAAAAATGCTTTCATGATTGTGCCTTTTATATATATTCTGAATTATGGCTTTTTCTCTCGTTCAGTTGATTATTCAGAAAACATTAAGGTCCATATCTTCAAAGGGCTTCATGTTTTTGGGTGCCCAACAAGAAACATTATAGAAGGATGTGTTTTTCAGAAAATCAAGCGCTATCTTTGCTGTTTGGGTGACCAGAATTACTAGTCATTCCTGGAAAAAATGACCTACTAGTTCTTTGGCGTTCTTTTATTTGCAGATAAATCTACTAGTTAGTGTTTTTACCTGCTGGTCGGGCTGGATCATTGCCAGTTGACGGTGAAAGAAAATAGGAAAGCTTATGTGCTAGATACATAGTTTTTATTTTTTTAATATCATGAGCTATAATTCTTACGCCTTTACATCTATTTAAAAGTCATATATGAGCAAAGTAAATTTTGAAGGACTGATACTTTATTTGGTAGGTGGAAGTAGCTGAACTCTGCCTGATGGAGGACGGTTCCTCTGGAGAGGACTAGAATTGAAGGGCATGTCGGAGCGGCATGGGTCAGAACTACTTAGTGTCTGGCACCTCCGCTTTAATGCATATGTGTACTCATCCAAGAGTGCATGTCCTGTTATCTGGAGGACGCTTTTACAATGAAGGCTATGTTTTATCTGGCAGTCATTGACTCAGCTGACCGTTTGTTGCCAAAGAAGGAAGAAACAGGTCTCTTAAAACTATCTCTAAAGAATGATCAATGGCACATTGCAAGAGAGTTGGTCTTTTCCACATGCTGATCTTTGGGGAGGAGGGTGGAGTCCATGCTGGTACTCTGCACTGCTGTGTAGTTCTGAGACCTTGTTCTGTTTAAATACTGAACTCTGTATTTTTTTTTTTTTGCTGAACAAATTTCTGGTTGTTGACTGGGTTACATTCTTTAAGTGGATTTAACGTTCGGTTTATTTATATTGGAATTTCTTCTTTGCGCACTGACACTTTTCCTACAAAGGTATGGCTTTCATGGGTTCTTATTATGCTGAACATCAGTAATTGTAATGGTGATGATGTATCTTCTGTAAGGCTGTGGTTTCCTTAAAAATACACTGCTGCTTTAGCCTGGGTTATAATTTGGGTAATTATTCGTAAAGATGGGTCATGCCAGGATACAGTGACAGAAGATTTATGGGGTATCATCAAAGAGCTAAGCTTATTTTCCCTAGTAACAAATGTGAAAGAGCATCGTGGTGAATGCTTCAGAGGAATCACTTCATAATGCGCTTGGTCGAACATGAAACGTGGTGTGTTGTGCTGAGGAATAAATGACGCCCCAGTTTTTAAATTTTAAATAATTTCCGTGCAGAAGTTAATGAATGTGGAATTATGAATGAATTCTGAGAAAGCTGTTGTAGATGAATAAGTTGGTGGTGGTTTTGGGGGGTTTTTTGGTCCCTGAAAACAATAGAAGATGTGGGTGTTTTCTGTACTGAGCATACATGCTTAACTGATCCAGGTCGTGTGTTCTCCACGAGACTGAAGCTTGAGGGAAGCAGAGCGTGTTTATCGGTAGGTTCTTGTGCCTGCTGTCTCACGTGATCTTTTTCAACCCTGTCTTCTCAGTGCTTTGGCTGTTTCACTGGATGGATTTAAGGATGACGCTGCCCAGAATGTAATGCGGGGCAGTCACTTTGCCTAAGCCCATAGAGACCTTTTTCAGGGTTCATATTTTGGTTTAGAAGGATTTGATGGATTAAAGGTAACAATGGCAACAATTTTTTGAATCCCCCATAACCTTTTTGATCGTGTTTAAATGTGGGTCCTTTTATATGAAAGAATAAGGTGAAACAAACTCAGTATTTTGTCACTGGTATATGAGATAATGTGTTCTAAATGTGATCTGTAGAGGTTGATATTTTAGGTGGAAGTCTTCAAGTAAATTTGTCTTTTTAGGGGAAATTCTTTGCTGTAAGGAAAAGTGTAGGAAGTCTACTGTAAATGTAGAAGTACTCAGTCCTGTGTGTGATTTTGTTTGTTATGGAAAAGTAAAGCTCTCTTGTCTTACCATTGCTTGCTTCGCAGGATTTCTCGCAGGGGTGCTTGCGCCAGGCTTTGATTAAACGGCATGGAAAAGACACTATTCTGTACGTTTTTCCATTTTAAAGCTCATGAAAGAGAATCAGATGAGAATTTTTCTCCTCGGTTTTGCATGTTTCATTCTACTGCTTTTTTTGAAAATATTTTGTAAATTAAATTTATTTAGAAAACTACTCGGCCTCTGTTGTGGTGGTGCTGGTTTTTTGGTTGGGTTTCTTTTAATACGGGAAGAGGATTTTCGCCTGGAGGTTCGCTACATCCCTTTGTTTGCTTTTTACATCTTGAAGCGTAACTCAAGCTGTCCAAGGCTAAGCCTAAGGCCGCCTCCCATCCCCGGCTGGGGGGCGGAGGGGCCGGGGCCGCTCCCCGTGCAGCCGTGCCCGTCTCGTTTAAATGAAGCGCCCAGCGGTAATTGGCGGAGACGCGAGGGGGCGGGGCGGGCGCGGCCCGGCTCGCGCGG